GAAATATTTTTGTGATTTTTTGCACCTGTAGTCGCAGAAGGGCTGTAAAGCTAGTTAGGTACCTGTTGTCACCATACATTATGGATAGTCACACAAATTTATGTATTATTTTGGGGGTCACAGTATAAAAAGTCTGAGAACCCCTGTTCTAACCTAATCTAATGTAATGTAATATTATGCAATCAAATTTAATCTAAGCTAACCAAACCTAACCTATATAAATAATTAATTTTTGCATTAGTATCACTGTGTTTGTTTTATTTTAAAATTATAAAGTAGCAAATGGCTGCTTTCATAACAATCTCCTTACTCTGCTTCTCTGCTTTGCAACTGTAACACCTCATTTATCTTTATCAATAATAATGGTATCTAGATCACATATCTGTTTCATTAAGGGAGCCAGGACAGTGCAGTCGGTACAGTGGCTGGCTACGGTCTGGATAACTGAATGATCAGACTTCAAGTCCCAATAGGGGTAAGAATTTTCCCTCCTCTATGTTGTCCAGATCGGCTCCAGGGCCCATCCAGCCTCCTATCCAATGTGAACCTGGGGTGCTTTCCCTGGGGGTAAAGTGGCCAGGGCATGTAGCTGGCCACTCAACTCCGACTAGTGCCAATGTCAAGAAAACATGGATCTATATATTCACTTCTCCATATGCCTTCATGGCGTAGTGCTTAATTAGTTAAGCACAGGGACAACTTTACCTCTTTATGCTTCATTAATGTCTGGTTTCATTCTGCTAAAACTTCTCCTAGATCAGTCTATTTAATCTGCAGAATTATTATTATAATACCTAGGAAAATTCCATATAAAATAATCAGGATCCAAAAATTTTCACTCTGCCTAAACCTGGCAGGCATTCTACACAGTGCCAAATGAATGTCAAATGTTGAATGATTAATGTTTTGGGAACAGTATGTTGATATCCCCTGGATATGTGACATTTCCCATATGCCTCAGTTGAAGGATGTCTATTCTCCTAGAAATCACTGAACCACATTTAATTTTCAAAGCTTTCTGATTTGCAAATATAAAACAAACATATCTTTTTGATTTGAAAATATAAGAAAACTCAAAATTTTTAAAGAGAATTAAAGTAAAAAACAAACAGTTTTATGTCCAGGTAATTATGGTGTACAAAATACTTTTAGGAACTAACCAAACTCCCACTATTTGGTATAATGTTTGTACTTTCATCTTACCTGTTTCTCTTTGAAAGATCTCTTCAACTTGCCTCGTGCTTTGTGCTTTAGCATCATGTAGTTCTTTGTTTTCCTTTTCTCTCGATTAGTTTTACTTGAATGTGCATTTAGTCGCCGATCTTGAAACCCAAATTTCTCACGACCAACTTGACCTCTCTGAAATAAAGATGAATCATATCACTACAAGCTATAAACCTCTGCAGAAAATCTGTCAAATGCATGCACACATTCAGAAGGAGCAATTTTCAGTATACACACATACAGTAAGTTAAGAAGTGACAAGAAAATGACATTAATTCATTATCATGCCTGAGCATGTTGTGGCAGTTAGCAAGATACACCATTCATAGCAGTATAACCGAGCAGTCCCATTAGTCTTGAGTTGCATTGTTAGTAACCACTGCCTAGCAACAACTGGTGAACAAACAGAATACTTTAAGTGTGTCATAGTTGAACTGATCTGTAGTGTGTGTAAATCAGTGAGACTGTTACAATTATTTGTAGTTATGAGTTACAAACATTCAATAAATCGAATTATCAATCCAAACCCCATTCTAGTCACTAACATATGACAACATTATCATCACACCCTTTCAGATCTTACTATCTTCAACATTAGGCCTAGCTCCATGTTCAGGCCTGCCTATATCCACAGGGAAAGGTAAACTGCTACACATTGGGTAGAAGATTAAGTGGATCCTTGAGAAATTCTGAATGTTGTGATCACAAACGTCATAGCACCCAGTGTCAACCCTGTCAGTTTATGACTGATCTGCATAAACATACTGACAAATTTGTACTGGATTTGTTCACCTTTACAGACTCTTGTCTCGCTTCTTTGTCATGACGACGTTTCTTGTAGATATTTTCAATGTCCGCCAGTGATACCAGCTCCCTCCTGCAAATGAATAGGAAGACAGTATAACTAAAAGGGGAACCAACATAATCAGAATTACATCACAAACTGTCATTTTATGTTAGGAAGACTAATTGAGAAACATTTCAAAATATTCTTTATAATTTTAAGATAATTATATAATATTGTTTATTTCATAATTTAAGCTAAAATTTCATGTTTCTCCTGTCTTCCATTGGCCAGCCAGAGAATAACCTGCGGATCATCACTTAAGAAACAATGAACTAGACATTACCATGAACTTCAAGACATGCGCATGCAAACACAGTCGCAAAAAAGTATTAATCCCATAAACCTGACATAAAATTACTATCCTACTTGTAGTCTGAAATAACTTAATAAACTGACCTATTTATTATACAGAAAATGTATCCAGTAGTTGATCTGCGCAAAAGGCAAATTATACGATTTGGATTTCATAATGTTCAGGCAAAATTTAACAATACATAAAACCCAACAACCACCCCATTATTGTTAGGCTACCAGAATTATTAGGGAGGCAAAAGGTACTATTTACATTTTATTATTTCATGTAGCCAGTACCACAACATTGGTACCAAACACCAATTTTATTTTCTTTTTCACTGTAGATGAAAATCAAAGTCTTTCTGTTCAGAAGTACAACAGCACTTAGCATTTTAAAATCTGAGGAAATGGCATGGTACTTGTACTGATTTTTTGTTACTGTAATGTGAAATTCTGCAGAACAATTAGATTAGCAGTCATTCTACTGATATCAAATTGCATTAAAAATCTGTATTAATGAAATTAGTCATGAATTTCAGTCATTTCATTTTGGAACGAGAAGCTTACAGGTGTTAACTGCACTGAGCCAAAAGCAAGCGTACTTGAATTCCACTTACTTTGAACTTGCTTCCTCTTCTGCTGGCCTCTTCTTGCCTCTCTTCAGAGCAGTCACCTCTTTGCTCAGCCTTGCTGCATCAATCTTCCGAAAGTCTTCGTCTGTAAGCAGCCGCATCTGACTAGCTTGGACTGCCTGCTGAATCTTGTTCATAGGTCCTCTTGCTCCTTCTCTTGCAGAATTAGTTCCTTCAACCTATTATGATTCACCAGGCAAAAAAGAAAACAATTCTGCATTTAAGATCATTAACATGACCAGCATATTTATGGATTCTAGTTTCATAGCCCGTATACTTCTACAAATGAAAATAACTGAATATACTCTAATGATTATGTTGTATGAGCTGATGACATTTCAGAGACACCAAAGAGAACAAGTTTTTCATCCAGACTTGGATATTCCAAATATTGTTACAAATTTCAGGACCAGACTTTTAATGATGTTTCTGTTGTTTCCAGCATCTGGGATAGCACATGTGTTATAGTGACTGGCTATGGGCTGGACAGCCAAGGGGTCAGAGTTTGAGTCCCAATAAGGGCAAAATTTTTTTCCTCTCCATGTTGTCTAGACTGGTTTTGGGATCCACCCAGCCTCCTACACAATGGGTAATGGGTACCTCTTTTCCGGGGGGTAAAGTGGCTGAGGTGTGAAGCTGACCACTTACCTCTAATTAGTGTTGAGGTCAAGAATATATGGCTGTACACATCAGCTCCCCCATATGTCTTCATCATGTAGTGCTTAATTAGCTAAGCACAGGGACAACTTTAACTTTACCTTTTACTCGTTTCCATCTGAGATGTTTTCATGGAAACTAACGAGGTGCTGTTCAGATCATCATAAAAATCTGTCACATGGTTCCAAATTTACTAGATGTCAAACACACACATACAAGCACAAATGAATCAACCTATTTTTCCTTGTAAATCAAGAAAATACATTGGAAACACTTCCACTTCAGCCAATTCAACCTGAGATTTCCTCAATTGAAGTGATCTGTATTAAACAGGGTGTAACTGAAAGGCATGAATGAACTTTATGCATGAGTTTCACATAACAAAACAAGAAAAGCTGTCCATGTCAACATGCGACCAGCAACATTTAAGTTGTGAATTATATCTAAAAAGAGTACACTTGCAGTAAGTATTCAAAATGTCCTCCAAGGGATTCAGTGCATGCTTCAACACACAATGGACTGCCATATCCATTCGAAGATGCCAGGGTAGTTGTGGATAGTCTGACAGGCATCCAGAATGCGGTGGTGAAGTCCCTTTTCATGTCAACAGGAGCTGAATACACAAGGGTTTTTGGTGTTCCCACAGGTAAAAATCCAGAGGATTCAAATCTGGCAAGCATGGAGGGCGTGCAGTGGGTCCCCCCCTACCTATCACTCAGTTATGATAGGCATTACTGAGAACATCTCGCACAGTATGGCTAATATATGCCAGAACACCATCACGCAGTCTTTCAGCTATAACTCACAAAATAAATGTTTCTAGGCACATTTCAATATGAACATTTTTTCTTGTTTTGGTATGTGGAACTTGTGCCTAAGTTTGTCCACACCTTTCAGTTACACCCTGTACTAAGTGAGCTCACCATGTCCTTGTCACCATCTTCCTCTTCATTCTCATCATCAGCTCCATGATCACATTTCTGGTCATCTTCCAACCTATCAAATACCTCTTCTTGAGTACTAATATTCTCTTCAGCATCACCTTCAGAACTGTGTGAAATATCTATCCATTCATCATCACTACTACCATCATCATCCTGTCCACAGCCAGAAGTTCCCTGTGAAACAATAAATCTTCTCAGTCACTTGGGCATAGGCATTTTTTCACACATTATATGTATTACTTTATGGTGAATAACGGAAGAAGCGAAAAACCATCTGCCCTCTTCAACTCATATATTTTTAACCACTTGGATACTCTTAACAAAATTCAGTATAGCACACAGAGATATTGGGTTTTCGGACTTTATCCATCGTTCTGGTTTTTAAGATAACTAAGAAAAACACGACGTTTCGGAAACTGGATCTGTTTCCGTCCTCAGGTGAGGGAAAACACCTATTCTGTTGGGTCCCTTAGAAAAAGCTAGCCTCAATCACTGTGGTCCAGTGTGGTCCATAGGTGTTTTCCCTCACCTGAGGACGGAAACAGATCCAGTTTCCGAAACGTCATGTTTTTCTTAGTTATCTTAAAAACCAGGACGCTGGATAATGTCCAAAAACCCAATATCTCTGTGTGTTATACACCATCATCAGAATCCTATAGTAACTACTTATTCAGTATAGCATTTGATAATTTTATTGATATGGGAATAAAAATGTAAAGTTCCTGTAAGAACTTATGACACTTACTTTCTTCCAAATGCTTCAATCTGTATTTTTGGATTAGCAAGAATAATGAAATGTTCACATTGTCATCATGTCCGTAATTTTTAACAGATGAAGTGTTTCATACACAGTATATCTTAGGTACATTTATGAGCTGTTTCCATGCAATATTTCAACATGCTACCACCAAATAATTCTTTAGTTATTGCCAAGAAAGCAAGAAGTAAATATAAATTGTACATATCCATCATGCTATTATATATTCTACAAAATTGGACTAAATCATTTTATAAAGACCTACTGCCGCAAACAATTCTGCATGTTTACCATGCTGATGTTGCTTATAATAAGAATTAAAAAGCATAAAAGTATGGTAGCCTCTGGAAAAGAATTCAAATTGTGGCATGTTTGAGTTGTGTTTTCTTACAGCAAGCTACTCATTTAGAGATGTCTGACAGATCAATGTGTGTGTGTGTGTGTTTGGGGATGGGGGGGGGGCAAGTGTAAATATTACGTGCACTCAGACATAAGCCATGGAAATCTATTGCACTTGCACCTATGCCTAGGTGGCCCAAGTGATCTCTTCTATTCAGATTTTCCAACCAAAATTCTGTGTGCATATTCCACTTCTCTCATATTCCTACCCACCTCAACATCCTTGATGTGATGAAACGGTGTTGTGGGTCATGTCTAAACACAAAACACAGCAGGAGAAGATACCAAGAAAAACACGAAGGCATAATGGGGCTATGCATGTTACATTAGAAGAAGAAATGCAAGCACAGCAGTCTCCACAGAATAGTTTTTAAAGACACCTGATGATGACCAATGATGGTTGAAACATGTAGTGTACAATACTTTTCTCAGTATCTTGTTCTCAAGCATGCTCTTTCCTCAGGGTAACAGACCATGTTTCTCACCCATATAAAGTATAGTTTTGTATACTTTAATGATTAGGTTCAGCAATGAATAGGGTCCAATGGTGGGTTCTGTGAACATAGAAGTCTCCTTATGGGATGTGCTAATGAAGTGAAGCATTCTATATTCTTGCTTGTTAACTCACAGTTGCTCTAGAGGTTTTACTGTATATCAAGTGTTAGAAGGAATTCAAACAAATGGAAAACAATTTCTTCTTACTGTATACTTCTGTACATGTGACATAAACAAACTGAGAAAAGGCAAATTAAATTCACTGCATGTTACTAAAGAGAAAAATATTGTGCAACCATTTTCCACTATTCCTTACCTCTGTGCCATTTTGAAGCAATACTTCTGCCCCAGGAATGTAGTCTTTGGCATCAACTTCCCCATACTTCTTTGACTTAAGCTCTATGGAGGCTTCCGTAGGGCGACCCTATAATGAAAAGTTTATGAGAACTGGATATCAGCCAGGGGTTGAGCTAATTTCAGTATACTGGAAAATTGAATTAAATCCTTTTAATAAATTCTATTCATGTAAAAATTAGGTTTATGTATTTACTGCTTTACATGTGATAATACTAAGATGGAGTCAAATTCTCATTATATAAAAATCAGTGCAAATCCAATGCAGATACTTTCTCATCTATGACTGACCTTGACTATATAACCTTGAAAATAAAAGCCAGTGTTGCTTCATTGAATATCTAACAAGAATGAAATCCATCTCATCAGCATGACTGGTTTCATGAAAACTGACATTTTGCCTATGGGGTACTACAATAATCAGACTCAGAAATGTAACTCATTTGTACTAAACAATCACATAAAAGAAACTGCAAATCTTGCGATTTAAGTCACACACTATATAAATACATACCCTATCCTTTTTATGCAGGAGCTCGGGCATTGATGTTCTATACAAATGGATGAGTGACCGTGCTGCCATCATGACACTACGTTCCTTGTAATTTTTATACTGAGCAAGATCCCTCAGTAAATCCTCACTCATTACCAGTGGACATCGGTTGCAAATCTCTCGCACAGCATTTAGCCTTGATAGATATTTAAACAGAATATTACACAGTTCAACAGCCATGTTACAAACAAGTTCTGATGACAACTGAACATGAAAGGCAGTATCCATCTTCAAACAGGTGTACAGTATCAGTATCCTACTAGCACTAATATTGAACACTTATATGGTAAGTGATATCTTCAGCTGGACTCCTATTTTTTCATCATTTATATTAATTGTATTTTTAAACAAACATTTAATACATGACATGACACAATCATGGAAAATGAAATGGAAGCAAGATTCCTTCATCTCTTAATCTCAGACGATGTCAATTTTAATTTATGATTATCAGGTATGGCAAGTGGCTAATAGCAGTAACTGTGTGGCATCTAGGAAATACAGTATTTCTTGGGAAATGTATAGTGATTTAGGAAAGAAAAATGGTAATTACTGGGAGCAAATTTTATCAGAAATGCATTCAGTGAACCTAAATGGATCATTATGAAGAATTTCGGAAAAAAGATATGTTTCTGCAAGATATCTGTTTCTGGGAATTTTAAGTAATAAATTTTTTTTTTATTATTAGAATATATCCACAATGAAGAATTTGTTAAATATAGCATATGTCAATTACAGAGCTTACCCTATAGCAATGACATCAGCAGAGTTCCTTTCCGTGACAAAGTTGTTCACAAGAGTTTTTAAAACTGGTTCCAGCACCTGTACATAAAACCAAGGCAACTTGTTAAGTACAAATAATAATTTTGTAAATTCATCATGTTCTTTATGGCTTACACTGTGTGAATTTACACCACTGTTCTTCACATAACCCCACAAGCAAAAATCCAATGGGGTTAAATCTGGTGACCTAGGAGGCCAAGCGATTGATCCACCTCTGCCAATCCATCTCTCACCCATCTCTCTGTCCAGGTGATTCCTAACATGTGGCAGCGCCCCATCTTCTTGAAGGATAGTTTGTGGTGGTAATTGGGACAGTGCATACAGCTCCAGCATGTCCAAGTATGACTGTCTGGTCACAGGCTTTTCTTAAGAGAAAAACGGTCCAATCAGCTTGTCGTGCATTAACCAAGCCCACATGTTCACTTTGAGCCTGCCTCTCTCAAACTCACATGTGACATATGGATTTTGACTGCCCAAAATCCGGCAATTGTACCTGCTTACAACTCCATTGACATGGAACATCGTCTTGTCTGGGAAGCACACTTGGGAGAGGAAATCGGATGACATATCAATTCTTTATATCATGTCCACAGCAGACTTTTTGCGTGTTACTTGATCCCTCAGTTTTGGTGCATGAATCATTTGAATCTTGTACGCATTTTGGTCGAGAATTTTGTGTAGCACATTATGCACTGTCGAACGTGGAATTTGTAACTGTAAGCTAGAAGCACAAATTGATTCGCGCAGACTTCGCTGAAATGCCTTTCTAATGAGTGACATTTTCTTCAAAGGTCCGTGTCTTTCCAGGAGATTTTACATGCAACAAACACTCTGTAGTCCTCAGTTTGTTGTCTCAGAACCAAGTGCTTTTCCATGTAGGAGGTTGGTATCCATATCACATTCTAAAATGATGCTGGACAGCTAAGAGATTGCAACTCTGCTATCCACAACACGCAATGAACCCATTCCTGTGGTGTCGACATCATTACTGAGCTCGCCAAAGGTCACCAGCTGCCGCATGTGCGTAAGCCAGGCACGAAAAAAAACTTTCAGAGTTTTTTCTGATGACATAAACCGGATACGTGTATGACAATTAGTTTTCAAGATGTAAATTTGTTATTCTGGACATCTTTCACCTGGACACCCTGTATATAATGTGTTGATTGCCATATTGCAGTCTGTTCATAAGGGCTTTGTTTTACATTAGAAATGGTAAGTAGTCATTCAAAAGTGTTAAATATGGCAAAATATAAGTTACATAGCCGGTTCACAAGATGGTTATAAGTTACACAGAAAAGAATGGAAAATAGAATTTTCTCACAAAACTCATCTTTTCCTCAATATTATGCAGCCTATCCTCAATCTAATGTGTGACATTATACCTTCAAAACATTAGCATATTTATGCACTGCAACTTTTAGACATGAAATTTTGGTTAAAAAAGTGGTTAAATTACAGAAATAAGTACACTGTGTTATCTGAGTAGATGATGAGATGAAAATGGTTATACGTAACAAACTACAAAGGAAAGGGGAAGCAGCAGTCACAGCCTAGCACTCATCTAGGACATATACCCAGAGTATCCTGTCTCATGACTAATGTTAAACTGGGTACCTCCTGAACTCAAAACAAACACTCAACAACAGACATTTTAAAAAATGTTTGCTTAAAAATGAAAGTGTGCATCATATTTTAGGATTCTGTTCCTGTTATCTTCAGTTTTAGCTGGAAATGATAATAAAGTCCACAGTGCAGAGACCTTCTTGAAAACTCACCATTCATTCAGTTAGTTGAGGAATTCTGTGCTTTCCATACAACATAAGGTTCATCACCACATGACCAAGGTTCACTACTGTACCCCATCCTGAGCCATCTGAATCCAGCATACACCAATAAAGTTAGTTAATCATACTAACTAAATATCATGCAATATTGCATAATAACACTACTGGACTCATCACTGTAAACCAACCAAACAGGGAAACAAACTACCTGGTTTACCTCCATACTCATACTTCCATAGTGAATTGTGTGCCAGGACATAGGACAGAGTCAAGCTGTACCCTATATCCGTGCTGATCTATACTCTCAGCCATGCACTAATGGAGGCAGGGAAACAAATGGAAGACAGCCAAAAAGTCTACGCATTACTAACAACAAAGAAATAAACAACACTGATTACGACATCAAGGTCACTTCATTTTATTTAACTCAACCTTAGGATATGGATAGGTAAGACAAAACGTGACACTTACATCTGGTGGCACCAATTCATGAGATGCTTGAGCTGCAAACTGCAGAATTTTGGTTACCTCTGGAACATAACAAGAAATTCCACATTATGGAAGTTGGCCCACCATAAAGACAGAAATTTTAAGTAGGAATAAGAGCAATGAAGATAGAAAACATAACAACAACCCAAATTTCACTGAAATGTTAATTGTTCTTCTTAGTCTCATTACTGTTGTTGATGATTATAACTACAGGTATGGTCCACACCTGCCTGGCGAAGGCAAAGACAGGAATCCAATTAGTATGAGAGAATAACAAGTGAGTAGGATTATTTTCATTTTGTTCCTGATGATAATGTTTGATGGCAGTGGCAGCTGTGGTGGTGGTGGTGGTGGTGGTGGTGGTGGTTTGCAAGGGGGACTTACAGTTTAACATCAGTAAGGGCCTGGTACAGGGCACACAAAGTTCTAACTTTCTGAGACCTGATGGAAATGAATGCATCCAAAAGAAAAAAAAGCCTACATTGGATCCCACTGATCTTGAAACTGAGACATTCAACATGGAAGGCCAGCATCCTACCCCTGACCACAGGATGTCTAGCAATTAAGCCTTATTACATATATCTAGAAAAGAGTCTGATAATTTAATATTGGTTGAAAACTATTACTGTGGGCGTTCAAGAACAGGGGACTGAGGAGAATATTCGATCATAAAAGAGGAAGAAGCAGGAGGATGGAGAAAATTACATAGTGAGGAGCTTCAATATTTGTACTGTTCAGCAGGTATCATTATGATTACCAAATCAAGGAGGATGAGACTGGTGGGACGTGTAGCATGGCAAAAAAAAAATCACACAACATGCACATACACATGCACACACAAACCTGCAAGGAAGGGACTATTGAAAGACCTAAGCACAGAAGGGAGAATAAAAACAAAATGGTTCTTAAAGATACTGGGTGTAAGGACAAAGGCTGGAATGTTTTGGCTCAAGACAGGGTCCAGTAGCAGACTTGCCATTTGTAAACCTCAACCAACCATACAAATGTATCTATATTGCTGCAGTCTTCATAGCAAAGACTTAACCATTAAAACCCATGTTTGATGGCTTATGTTTTTCATTCCTGTTATTCAAACACAAATTCTGCACGAGTTCAATCATCATTTCACACATTAATGATTCCAATATTACTGATGTTGAATGGGGCACTGTGCTACAAGCTGGAATGTTGCAGGTTTGATTCCCAATGAGGTCACTGGATTTTTCAATTGACCTAACCCTTCCAGCTGCACTATGGCCCTGGCGTCAACTCAGCCTCTAACAGAAATGAATACAAAAGATCTTCCTGGGGGTAAAGGGTGGCTGTTATGTAAGGCTGACAACTGATATAGAATACTAACAAAGGGGGCATTTAGGTCAGCAATATACTCATACTACACACTTGCTACAGGTAACACCTCACCTCTCTGGTGTGGCTGCATAAACCTCTGGATATATGGGTAATAATTGAGTAGAAACAACTGATGCAGACCAATAAGTCTTGACACAACATCCAGTGTCATGATCTTCACCTCAAACCTCTCATTTGTCTTCTCCAGCTGCTGAAACAATTTCTCTGCCAAACCTGAAACAAATCCATTATGAAGATTGTTTTTAATGACTCCTACATAGCTTCTTGTGGCTCATATTCCCCACAATCATGAAGTCCGGATTAAGAGCCAGATGAGATGTTGAGAAGACATGCAGGAAAATCTGCACTAAACTCTACCAATCTTGAATCTTAGACCACTGGCACAGAAATATAGTGCGGCCAGGTCCCCATCATCATTATGTAAAAAGAGTGTTTCTCAGTAAAATACATAGTATGTATTTGGTATTAGTAACACTTCTGACAGATAAGCATTCCTTTTGTCTTGACTTTTAGCCTTCTGTCCTACAGAGCATAATGACAAGAAAATGTAACCTTGGTGTTTTATTTAGGCATGATGCATGTCTGCTGTCTAGATCATGTACAATGTGTTGCAAATGAAATGTGCATCAGTGATATGACAGGGTGATAGCAGGAATTTCAGTGAGATTTGAGGTTTTCACAGCAGTGAAGATATAAGCCATTCACAATAGATGGGGCAGGAAATTCTTCTGAAACATTAGTAACCACATACCAGAATGAATGAATGAATGAATGAATGAATGGTGTCATAACCTACAAGACCACAATATGAGCCAAATGTCTGACCAATACTTAGATGGTACAAACTTCAACAGGTATTGTTACTGTACAATTAATTTTCTCAAAATTTCTAAGCTTTATGCATAACTGAATATGCTAAAGTCAAAGACCGAAAATGACTGTTGCTGACACTGAACGACTATTGCCAATAATGACAATAAGCATGAGTTCTGAGGTCCTCACAGCAGTAAATATAAGATTAAAACTTTCTGCAGTGTAAGACTGCGTAATCTGGTAGACAGTACTCATGCTCTGCAGCAACCTGTTGCTTTCCTCTTCTTACACCCTAAAAATGGAGAGAGCAGGCTCCCTTAAATTATTGGTATCTACCCATCAGAAAACACAGCGTCATATTCCAAAAGACCACAATCTTAAATTGGCCGATATTAATGCAACTTCCTATGAAATTTGCTATTAGAAACTTCATTTACCTTCATACTCATTAAAATGAACAATACCAGAACAGTATTCATACACGACTAATTCTCGATAATGTTGCAACTGCTGAAGCTGCAGGGTGCTGAATAGGAGGATGAATCATGGATTGGAAGGTAAGCAAAAGAAGGCGGTTCTGGCCTATTCTTGGGGTACTATACCAGCAATTCAATACAGGGGTGAGGGAAACAGCCCGGAGAGCTGGCATTAAGCCAACCACTTGAACGTGAAAACTCCCTAATAAAAAGCAATAGTGCTACTCATTCAATGACTTATGAATTTGTTAACTTTAACTAGCATGACTAAAGCAAAGCATACCTTGAGGATCATGAACCAAATGTAGAGCTGAGAAATTGAATGGCGAAGGGGCACCCTTTTTCTTCTGGCTTTTCTGAAATCAGAAAACAGTAATTAATTATTAAATACAATTAAATATCATTTTCAATACTTAACCAACTTCAGAGTGAAATATAATTACATGACAGTGACTATTATTTCTGGGAATTAGTTACTACTAAAATTACATAATGAGGAGCTTCATAAGTTCTACTCCTCACCAATTATTACTAAATGAGAACATTATCTCACTATAAATCTTTTAACAAAATTGCTTCTGATTCTGTTTCATTAAATGTTTTCAATGTCTGTAAACTTTTTAAAATTATTCACATTTCCTTATTCATGTGCTTAAACAAATGTTTCAAATTGTAAGCTAACTGTAATTCAAATTAATCCACATTATAAAACACACTGTAATCAAAATGGGAATTTCTACCAACTTCTCAGTATGCATGACTTCAAATCATCCAGAGAATTTCATGTAAATTATGTAGTAAACTTAACAGAGAAGATTCAAAATATTTCTTCACAGTTCAGATAACTTACTTTAACCAGCTGCTTCACCTTCTTCAGTTGTTTTTCTCTTTTTCGAGTCTTCTTATTTACTCTGTTAGCCATCAGGACTTCTTTTGTTGATACTTCATTCTTCGAAAAAGAAAAAAAAGGAAATTTTTATCAGGAAACTGGAATAAAACTATGCTTTATAAGCTACTGTTGCTGTTCATCTTTCTCGTTGCAATGCTGGTGTTACAATATTTGTTTTCTCACAAAACCAATTACTTATTGAGTGTAGAAATTGGAAAGGGAGAGATTATGGTGATAGGTAAAAATTGTATAAAAACATTTTTGTACATGGAATTTACATACAGTGAAAGTGAATTTGACCTTGTGCTTAATTAAGCACCATGTCATGAGCATGTGCTGAGGCAGTGGATGTATAGCTCCACCATTCCACCTTAGCAACAAAGTCAAATAGAATCCATTTTGAAATGAGAACTGAATTACAAGTACATTCTTTAAATGAAAGGATACAGGATTATATGCATTCACAGGCAAAGGTTGATAGTAGAATACCCAAAACTGCACTGAATTACAAACCTAAGATAAGAAGATTAGGGTGCTCAGACACCATGAAGCACAGAAGAACAAGACTATTTAATGATCCACTTTTGTGAACAGTACATACATTCTCAAGGCATGGTCTTAATTAAATAGGCACAAGGGATAATTTACCACTACTTTTACATATTATGATTATTTTAAAACTGTCAAATTCAAATATTCACACTGTTTTCATGTTTGTATTTGTTAATATAGTACATAAAATTCTTCACACAAAATTTTATAGTCCACCTCTATACCAAATTTCATTTGTATGCTTTCAAACCAAATGCCAAACACAAATTTTTGTGGCCATAATATTGCTTTACATTCTGCATAAAAAAATACAAATACAAGATGCACATTTTTTGAAGATCTACCACCACACAAAATTACAGGATCTTATAACGTTACTCCCTCATCATAGCTATCATGGTATTATTGATGGTGAAATTAAAAACTGCAGAAGTGGGATGGCCTCAAATTCACACCAAGTATTATGGAAATTCCCAATTTATTAAGAAGTTACTAGGAGTGAACAGACACATAGGTATGATACCACAAGCTTGCCTATTCATAAAAAACCAGGAAACTAGATAGCAAAGTAAAGAAAACTGCTTTTTCACTAATTTAGCAACATGACTATGCAAAATTTTATTATCAGAAACTATCTTCTGGTAAATATTTATACTAGAGAAATTACACAATTTTCTTGCCTTATTTTTTTTTGCCATGAACAGACAACAGATACCTGGACTTCAGTTCCCATCATAATACTAAAAAAATATTAATTGATGAGTCCAGCTTGTCCAAAAATGTCTAAAAAACTGAACTGGCATCTGTTTTCTAAGACTATGTTCTAGCAAGAATTGTAAGATGACTGATTTTTATACTGTTGTACCTATCAATGTTATAATTGTTGAATATTTTATTGTCTAGACCAGGTTGCACATTGCAATGTCAGTTTGACTGTGACGAGTTCAATATCCAGTCCGGTATCCGGACAAAGGATCTGTGAAACCATGTAGCTATGTATGTATGTATGTATGTATGTAACTTTGAGTGATATCTTATGTAAAATTAGAGAATGTACATTAAACATCTTGGCAATTTTGTTTCATCTCTAATAAAGATACTTCAGGTAAACATGTTACAGTGCTGTATATATTCCTACAATTTTTATTCATGTGCTGAAAATTTCATGTATTAACATGTTAAATGACCCCTTAATATAAGGGCTGAAACTTATATACAGTACATAAAGAAATATTACATCTGAGTCACTGTCATCTGACTTTTTTTCATCTTCAGGATCAGATCCAAGGAAAAATTTTAGAGCTGCAACCATCACCTGGAAAACAAAATTGTACATATATTAATATGCTTATTTTACTTATGTGTGGGGTGCATGCAAGTGGGAAAGAATAACAGATCTGTCCATCACCTTCAGTATTTCTTATACACATACCATTTTTAATTCTTTATTCTGATAGCAATTTGAGTTATAAACCTTGAAAATACGCCCTCATATCTGCAAGTTTCTCAGATTGTGCTAAAATTAACAAAATTATCCAATTTAATATTATGTGCTTGCAACTCTTATACTACTAATGTAAAGCTACACATTTCTGAAGTTTTCTGGATTTATTTGTAATCAAATTTTGTGGCTTATTGTTCAGGATGTGCTGGCATGCTTTACTGAAAATTTGTCAAGTACATCCTAATATCCTTTCACCCCTCAAGGAATGCCAAATATTATATACTCATTTTATTTCTATGTACATTAGTCTTTCAGCTCCAAATTCTTGGTGTAAAATTGGTTTCAGCTTATTTTAATGTTATATGTGCTTTTCTCATGAAATTCCTGTGACAGATCCAAGTGAGAAGTATATTTCACAGTGACTACAATGGGAAAGAAATTTCCAGTCTGGGATGCAGACTGTAAGGATCAAATTAAGAAGGTAGAAATGTACTTCCCAGTAACATCAAAAGGGTTAACTTAATTTGAATGTTATACAACCTGCACAAACTGAAACATATTGTGACATNTCTGAAGTTTTCTGGATTTATTTGTAATCAAATTTTGTGGCTTATTGTTCAGGATGTGCTGGCATGCTTTACTGAAAATTTGTCAAGTACATCCTAATATCCTTTCACCCCTCAAGGAATGCCAAATATTATATACTCATTTTATTTCTATGTACATTAGTCTTTCAGCTCCAAATTCTTGGTGTAAAATTGGTTTCAGCTTATTTTAATGTTATATGTGCTTTTCTCATGAAATTCCTGTGACAGATCCAAGTGAGAAGTATATTTCACAGTGACTACAATGGGAAAGAAATTTCCAGTCTGGGATGCAGACTGTAAGGATCAAATTAAGAAGGTAGAAATGTACTTCCCAGTAACATCAAAAGGGTTAACTTAATTTGAATGTTATACAACCTGCACAAACTGAAACATATAAACAGTATGATATGCAAATACTGTATCTGAATCATTGTCATCATAGTTCTCATCTCCATAGTCCTATCCAAAGGAAGAAAGCAATCATCAACATTCAGGAGATAAAATACTTCTCCCCAGTCTTGGGCACTAGAAATTTTGTGAGGTCGCTAATAATACAAACATAATAGTGTTAGACATTCCATATAGATACGACCTAGGAAAGAATTCCATTGTGAATAAGGAAATTGAGACTTTTAATCTAAAATTAAGGAAGGTTACAAAACATTACAATCATGTGACAATAATAGAGCTTAGTTTAAATAGAGAGGCATTCATACAACATGGTCTACATCTAAATAGGTTAGGAAAGAGACTAACTGCTAAACAAATAGCAATGGAAATCTACGGATTATAGAGAGAAAAGTAGATAGTTCAATTAGTTTGGAATGGAAATCAGTGATAAAGGTGATCTTAGAGACAATAATTCCTGCATCTTCAGGTTTCGATAATTTGGTAGAGCAACAAAATCATTCTACTAATAGCAAAGAAATGTATTCTGTGCATGAGGATATACAGGTTCTGAGATACTCCACAAGATCAAAAAAGTTGCCTGTGACTAGGAATGGTGATTTTTTATGGGGGATTTAAGTCTGAATTCAGTTAACAAAAATTGTGATAGTAATCCTTCTAGTCGATTAAATAATATTCATGGTATTCTAAGAGAAGTTCATTATATTAATAAATCATATTCTATAAACAGTAAATTAGTCGGTAATAAGAGCGATGACTCACAGAATGTATTTAGGATTCTCCATCAAAATATTAGGGGTATGAATGGTAAAGCTGACGAGCTCATGATTCCTTTATATAATCACCTTCAAAATATAATTTGTTTGACCGAGCATCATTTGATCGATTATGAAACTGATGCTGTACATATTTCAAATTATCAACTGGGTGATAAATTTTGCAGAAAAAATTTGAAAAATGGTGGTGTATGTATATATATATACAAGAAGAACTAAAATTTTCTACCATAAATTTACAAAAATACTATAAGGAACAAGATTTGGAAATTGCGGCTATTCAAATAAAAATAAATAAGGATAAGATAATTATATTCAGCATATACAGAGCTCCATCGGGTAATTTTGATTATTTTCTTAATAAACTAGACGTTATACTTAATTCCTTCTACAGACATAATTTGATATTTTTAATAAGTGGTGATATTAATATTAATTATATGGAAACTAGTAGCAAGAAAACCCAATTAGATGACATGTTAAACACCTATAACCTACTAGATACTGTATGCTTTCCTACAAGAATTGTTAATAACTACGCTACCTTAATTGACAATATATTTATTGATAATAGAAGAAGTTATACCATAAATTCATTTATAAATGGATCGTTGGATCACGATGCCCAGCTTATAATACTTAATAATGTCCCTGTACTAAACATAAACCTGATACTATGTATACTAGAAATATTAATAACAAAACTATAGCGGAATTTCAATATCTGTTAAGCTTGGAACTTTGGGATGATATATTCAGTAATAATAATGTTAATGTTATGTTTAATAATTTTCACAATACATATTTAAGATGTCTTTATGCTTCATTCCCAAAAAAGCGAATTAGACACAACAACAAAAACCATAATAAATGGATCACTAATGGGATAAGAATCTCATGTAACAAAAAGAGAGAACTTTATTTATTAAGTAGTTATAGTAATGATCTACATTTTAAATTATATTTTAAACAGTACAGTAAAATACTCAAAAGTAATTTTAGCAGCAAAAAACTACACTATAACAAAATCACTGCTAATTCTAACAATAAAATAAGAAGTACTTGGAAAATAATAAATGAAGTAAAAGGAAAAATAAAGCGAGACATAGGTATTCATTCCATTGTGAAAGACAATAAAGTAATAAAAGAATCAGAATAAAACTGCTGATGCTTTTAACAATTATTTTTTATCTATAGCTGATTCTGTTATATCAGATGTTAATAGACATACAAGTACATGTATAAATAATCCAACTACGTACTTATTTGGCAGATGTTTTTAATAGAACTTTCACAAAAATGAGCTGGCAATATGCCTCTGCCTCACAGAATTTTGTTGGATAAACTGGAATTCTATGGAATAGAAGGTATATTTAAAACGCTAATTAAATCTTATCTAACTGGTAGATATCAGAGAGTGGTTTTGGGTCATATAATTGATAGGAACAATACATCTAAGTGGGAAATAGTTAAATGTGGAGTTCCACGTGGCTCGATTCTCGGCCCCCTGCTTTTTTTATTTTATATAAATGATTTACCTAAAATAATAAATAAGGATAATAACATGGTTCTATAAGCTGATGACACCAGTATTATAATTACTGATACTAATAATGTAAACTTAGAAAGAAATCTTACCCAAACTTCTGAAGATATAAACACTTGGTTTAATGTTAATTTACTTACCTTAAATTTCAATAAAACTCAATATTTAGAGTTTCAGTCCATGAATTGCAACACATTGACACAAATTAATTATGATCAGGAAAGTATCTCCAGTGTAACAGAAACTAAGTTCCTTGGTTTGATTACTGATGATGTATTATCTTGGAAACAGCATATTGACCTAGTGATCAGTAGATTATTCTCTGTGTGCTATGCATTGTGAAATATAAAACATATTGTATCATTTGCAATGTTAAGGCCAATCTACTTTGCTTATGTACGCTCCATCATGAGTTATGGCATAATATTTTGGGGTGGCTCCTCACATGCTAGGAAAGTGTTCATCTTGCAAAAGAAAATTATTAGAATCATAATGAACACTAAACCTAGAGAGTCTTGCAGGGATATTTTCAAGAAATTGGAAATTATGATGTCATATTCTCAGTATATATACTCACTACTTTTATATATAATTAATAATAAACATTTATTTAACTTTAATAACGAGATTCATGAATATACAAGTACATCCCAAGGTAATTTACATGTACCTAGTGTGAATACTTCAAAATTTAATAAAGTAGCCTATATAACAGGTATTAAAGTGTTCAATCATCTTCCACGATCAATACAGATTTTGATCAATGATGAGAAAAGCTTTAAATTTACATTAAAGAGGTTTTTATGTCATCATTCTTTTTACCCTATAAACAAATACTTTCAATATAAAGAAGACAAAGGTTTTTAATCCAGATATTCTCTTGAATAGTTTGTTAGGTTGATTTTACACATGATGTATTACCCACTTATTAGTCGCTTGGCATTTAAAGGTATAAATTTTATGGTAGTATGGTATTGTAATACACCATCTGTTTTAAATAACATATGACTGTATACAATTAAGATGGTCATGAATGGTTTACTCACAGCTCATTTCCTTTTATCCTGTACAGTAATATGTTAACAAATAGCTTTTAAATTTTAAGGTTCTTGCTATGAAATGACTGACTGTATATACTGAATTTTTATTGTATATTCTAATTTTTAAATCCTGATCAAATGTACTATATTTGGACTGTTGAATTAAGTATTTGTAGTTATGTGATCGAAATAATTGCATCAAACTTCTATATTATGAATAGGTCTTTTGTATTGATTTATGGTGTGAAAATGATAATCATATATCTGCACAAATTTGATCATATTTGAATATTTTATGCACAAATCTTGTATTGTGACTGTATTGCATGTTGATGGGTTCATTGTTTTTATGTATGTGTTTATGTATTTTGACATGTTCTATATCCTATGGCATTCATTCATCAGTAATCTGTCAAGACGACAGGTCCACAGTCTCTTCCAAAACACTTCCTCCACTTGATGCGATCTAGAGCTTTCTCCTTCAAATGAAAATATCTTCTGTCCCCAAGGTCATCCAGCATCTTCTTACGTCTTCTTCCTTGTCTTCTTGTCACTTCTATCCGCCCCTCCATCTTTCCTTCAATAACTTCTTTTAGAAGGCAGTTACCGCGTAAGATATGACCAATCCAATTAGCCTTCCGTTTTCTTATTTCATGTAGGATATTCCTCTGCTCACTGACTCTAAATAACACTTCTTCATTTCTCACATAATCGGTCCAACTGATCTTCTCCATCCTTCTCCAACAACACATTTCGAAGCTTTCCAGGTGTTTCTGATCTACTGCCCTAAGTGTCCAAGTTTCAGCCCCATACAAAGCAATGCTCCAAATGTAGCATTTCACTAGTTTCTTTCTCTAATTTAAGTCCATGGCATGTGTGACCTGAAAAGGATCTATGGAATTTAAAATAAAGTGAAAGTGAAAGTAGTTCTTCATTTTTCTGAACTATAGTGAAACTCTCATTTAAGATTTCTTCTGGGGACTGCAGATTTCAATAAAATGTACTTACAGAGATATTGGGTTTTCGGTCTTTATCCAATAACTAAGAAAAACATGACGTTTCGGAAACTGGATCTGTTTCCGTCCTCAGGTGAGGGGAAAACACCTATTCTATTGGGTGATTGAGGCTAGCTATTTCTAAGGGATCCAACAGAATAGGTGTTTTTCCTTCATCTGAGGACGGAAACAGACCCAGTTTCCGAAACGTCGTGTTTTTCTTAGTTATCTTAAAAAAACCAGGACGATGGATAAAGTCCGAAAACCCAATATCTCTGTGTGTTATACACCATCGTCAGAATCTTATAGTAATAAAATGTACTTAACTGAAGGAAATCTGAAATGGATGATATACAGCACTTAAATTATTGACTTGGGGTCAGTGAAACTGAATGTTAAATGAGAAAAACCTTAGACTGAGGAACATGAAATAGGGTTTACACTGCACTTCATCATATGTACTTTGCTCTTTATAATTTACTATTTTTTGGTTGAATGGGTTTAAATAACCCCAGTGATTTCCATATTACCTTCAATGGACTGTTATCACTAGAGGAATTTTCGTTCTTCGTCATTTAGTTGCTTCCATGCGTTATTTTATTTACAATTCAATGCCAAAGTGTCAAGTGTTACAGCTCATGAAGGAATTAGTACAAGTACAATCTACAGAAGTTCTGTTAAACTACATAAACAAGCTCCCAAATATTGCATATCAAAAACTTTATAAAAGAACATGTATTTTATGCTTGTTTTATGGCTTGTACTTGTTTAGAATGGCTGAAAAGAGCACATAAAATGTGAAAGAGTAAGCACTTACAACAGAAACATCCAAATAACCAAACAGCTAACAATTTTTTTATTCCTGCTCCCAATCCCATCCTTCCTTACCCAAAAATTTAAATTAAATTTGATTAAGATTATACATTGGAGTTGATGGTCATTTCAGTCCAACCATATATTCAGTGAACTGGCAGACATCTTCCCTGTCTTCATGTTACTGAAATTAATTTACATCCTCCATTGTTGAGAGATTAATATTTTTGAGGTGTCCTCATAAAAATAAGTATCTTTGTTCATTAACTGTCACACGTATCATTCATAAGATATAGTGAATAATGAAAGGGTAGTGGACAGATAATCATCTTCATGCTTTCAGAAAGGATGTGTAGTTTATGATTAGTGTCTGTTATTTCCTTTTAATTACTTCTGTCAGTGGCATGTGAATGCATCATCATTGCTCAAAAATAGATAACTGTACCTTCCTTAATATCCTAAATTGTTTTGTTAAGAGATATCAGTTTCATTTCACAAAACAAATATTCTTACTTACCTTCGTAAATTTTGAAAAACAAGCAGTGGCAATAACATTCACAGTTTTAGCATCGTTCCAAACATTCTTTTTGTAGAGCTCAATCATTATGGCCTGGAAAACATAAAAAGAAAATAATCACTAGAGCAACTTAAACTAGATCTCATTGGACATTTCTATTCCCCTAGTGGCTAATGGAAATATCATTATATTTCAATCACGATTAAGAGGCTAAAATTAATATTTTATTATTGCAAATTAATCATTACACATTCATTATAAATTCTATTGAAAAAATTAATAAATGCATTTGCAAATATTACATATATAAACAGACCTAACATTAAAATTCAATGCTTAAATTTTCTTAAAAACAACAATGATATTTTTTCATCACATACAAGACTCAGTGAACAGTATACATACAAGCGACATCTTTGCTGCCTTGGAGTTGCTGTCCTTCAGCATACTGAACATGAAATTCTGCAATGTCTAGAAAGAAGAACAATTCACATTATCATCTAGTATAACAAGTTTAAAAAGTATCATCAGTAAAGTATGTAGATGTATTAACACATTTACACAATAGCCATGAAGGGGTACATCCACAGCCTTCTGAACAACAATGGACAGTCCACTGGATTGCAAGTGAAACATTATTCTGACTGGTTTAGTGAACCTGAACTGAATCTTTAAGCAGTAAAAGTTCATTCATCCACATAATGTGCCTTCCCCCCACACCAAAACCAAAATTTTAAGTGAGAATGCATATCTGTATGCGTGGTCAGACAATAAAGTTCGTGAACTCATCGCAGTAATAGTGCTACATGCCACACTGCTGAATATCACTGTTCTGCTTCAAAGTACTCCCCTTGGGAAGCTATGCATCAATGCCAGCGCCTAGTCCACCCCTGAAAACAATTTTGGAACTGGTTTTGTGAAATGGCCTTCAGAGCTGCTGTCGTATTACTCATAATGTCATCAATGTCATCAAAATTCCTCCCTTTCAATATATCCTTTAGCTTCGGGAACAGAAAAAACTCATTGGGGGATAGATTTGGTGAAAAGGGAGGGTGTTCCAGCAAAGTTATTTGTTTACTAGCTAAAAACTCCCTCACAGACAGTGTTGTGTGAGCAGGAGGATTGTTGTGATGCAAGATCCATGAGTTATTGGCAAAAAGTTGGGGTCATTTCCGCCTAACATTTTCATGCAGCCTTTTCAGTACTTCCAAATTGTAGACTTGATAGACTGTTTGTCCAGTTGATAGAAACTCATAATGAACAATCCCTCTAATATAAAAAAAATTAGCAACATTGTTTTGACTCTTGATTTGGACTGACGGAACTTTTTGGCTGTGGAAAATTGGAAATCTTCCATTGTGCAATTTGCTGCTTCATTTCAAGGCCGTATTGGTAAACCCATGTTTCATCATCTGTGATGACATGGCCAAAAATGTCATCTTACCTCTCCAAAAGATCTGGGCAAATTTCAACTCTTCTTTGCTATTGTTCTTCAGTGATCTCCTTTGGGACCATTTTTGCACACATCTTCCTCATGTCAAGGTCTTCAGTTAAGATTTTCCTAACTGTTTCTCTGTTGATGTTTGCTTGCTCTGTCATGCTCCTGACAGTCAGGTGACGATTTTCAGGCATAAGTTGGCTAACTTTTTCAATGTTTTCTTCAGTTCTGCTTCATGCTGGCCGTTTTGATCTCTCTGTCAGTGACACTTTCTCTTCCCTTAGAAAAACGTGTCACCCACTTGTAAACTGCTGTTTTCTTCATAGCATTATCCCTGAAAAGTTGCACTAACATCTCTCTGATTTCGCTTCCACTCTTGCCAAGTTTAACAAGAAATTTATTGTTCTCCCCCCCCTCCGACACATTTCCTATACTGGCACTGGCTCTGGCCTGCTACCTGCTCACCATCCCTACAGACCCTTTCCCTCCCTTCTCCTCTCTATTGATTTCCCATGTGGCCCACTCTCCCTCCATTCCTATCTTTATATAGCTGCTGGGTGCTTTCGACTGGTGGCTCAATCTGCAGCCACTTGCTCATGATGGTTCCTTGCTTGCAGATTTATCTACCCTGAAGATGGAGGCGATATGTTCCTCCGAAACATCAGTTCACACAAGATCAACACGGCGCCACATCACAGAAGACTGAATTCTTCAATTTAATGTTCATTCGTTGCTCTAATTCAAGGTCCGACATTCTCACAATGGCATACCAAAACACACTCAGACAACAATAGATGCCACTCACAAAAGAGACTGGCACAGATCAACAATAACACAGCTGTGAAACGCTGATATGCCAATGTCAAGGAACCATACTGAGCTTTCTGTCCATTGCTGTCACAAGTAAACTGCGGTGAGTTCGTGAACTTTATTGTCATACCTCAGATGGATACTCCCTGTGAAAGTTACATGTATGTATACAGGAAATTAATGTACTTGAAATTCAAGTTTTGAAACACAATGTTCATACTGAACAAACTGCAGAAAGCACTTCCTACTGGTCATGATGAATAGGTATGTATTCTTTGGAAAAATCAGGCCAAAAATGTACTTCCAAGTGGATAAAAAGATATTTTCCCTGAAAATATAAACTGAATTCAAGTTGATTAAAACTGTAAACTAAATCAACCTCTGAACTGCAACATTCTGATATTATATCCCTGCAATGAACCAGTATTTACTACGCAACGGCTGTCCTCTTCAGTCATCATGTCAGAATATTATCCTCCCACCTATGCCTAGGTCTTCTGGGTGGTCTTTTTCTTTCCAGTTTTCCTACCAATATTCTGTACATATTTCTCTACTCTCCCATGCATAGTGCATGCTCTGCACATCCCATCCTTAGTAACTGAGACCATCCTAATAATATTTGGTGAGGGAAAAAAACTACAAAGCTCTTTCACTATGCACTTTTCTCCAGCCTCCTGTTATACTTCCTCACTCTTTGGTTCAGACATTCTCCTTAGCAACTTGTTCTCAAATAACCTCAATGCCTGTCCTTCCCTTAATGTAAGAGATCAACTTTCACACCCACAAAAAACAACAGGAAGAATTACAGTTTTGTTTGTTTTAATAATATTTGTTTTTAGGTAGTAGATGGGAAGGCAAAAAGATTCTGAAATGAATGGTAACAAGCATCTCCCCCCCCAGATTTCATCTGCTCCTAATTTCTTCTTGTATTACATTTTGATTTGTTAGTATTGATCATAAATAATCAAACACTGCCACATTTTCAAAAGAGCTATCAGTTGTCTTATACGAGTACTATGGTTTTGTCCAGTATTTTTGTGACAAGACATGATCACATGGTCAGGTTTCATTATATTCACTTCTAGTCTAATTCCCATACTAATTCTACTCTGACATCATTAGGGGAGTTAAACATCAGTAACACAAACTGAAGCCAATTACATTATCGGGACCATATGCATGATGTTCTATGTATCATACTTCCATATGATTTCCCAGCCAAAATTTTATAAATATATCTCATTTCTCTCATTTGGGTAGCTCAGCTTGGTCTTTTTCACTTAATTTTCTTGATATGATATGTATTATTTTCTATTCCTCAATTTGTTCATCTCTCCTAAGTTTCCATATTAATTTCAGTGACATACTGAATCATTTGTCTGTCTTCATTTGACTTTCTATTTGTTCAAATTAATGATACAGTATTACCATGTTCAGACGGGCATTCTTGTGCTTGGCATTCATGTTTTTAATATCGGTGATGATATGTGTTTCCAAGAACTTGCGTAATGCCTTGTCCTGGCATCGAAGTAAATGAAAGAAGAGTGACAACAAGTCTGTTGGTGTCAACAGATTTTTGTTACGCAGCAGTATCAAGGCTCGACAGAGAGTCTGCAACAGAGGGGAAAAGGGGAACATTACTGTTTTGGATGTGAAGCTTCATGAATAATTCAAGATCTAAAACAAAAAATTCTTATTACAAACTCCATGAAGTAGGACACACTAGGAAAATCAACAATCTCCACATCAAACAATCAAGATCACAGGATTCACTATCGACTTAACTTTCTCATAAGAGTTCCTCATTTACAAAATTGTTCTGTGAGCTGGTAAATTTCACATCAAGAGTAATATCCAGCTATATAAAAACCCTGTTTTAATTCTTAGCTCCCTCACTGAACTTGAACTTCTCCCCTGTTCTCTCTTTCATGTTACCATATTTTCATGTGGTAACTTCAAAAATACCACAAGAATATACATTTGAAACATCTGAATGTTTTAAACTGGTGTAGCATGCTTCAAGTTATTTCATATTTTCTCACTTACTCTAGTCATTAAGCTGATCCTTTCACAAAATTAAAGCATGTACAAGTCTGGATTATGTATATCCCAGCAACCTGTTGTTGCAGCCTTTAGAATATTACATTTACTTAAGTTTTTAAGTATTTTTTGCTGTAATTTTCAGTGTTGTGCAGTGAAAATCTCATCTTTATATGATGATCTTAACTGTACACAACTTTAAAAAGAAAACTGTAGTTCATTAAAACCATGCTTCATTATAGCCAAAAATTCTGATTTTTGGAAACCCTAGCATATCTATGAAAGCGAATCACATGGTGCAAGTTTCATTATCCTGGCATTACTACTTTTGCAGCTGAATCAATGAAACTGCAGGTAAGATGAGAAGGAAGGAAAAAGGGAAGACAAAGAGAAGGAAGGAGAAAAAGAAATTAGGGGACAAGAAACAGTGAAACCAAAGGGGAAAAAGACAGGGACAGAAAAGTGAAAGGAAGAAAAAAGAGAGAGAGTGTGTGTATGTGTGCATGCGCATGTGTGCAAATTCCCATTTCAGAGACATGGAAAATAATGAACTATCAGTTTATGCAGTTACAACATCTAATAATTTTAAGTTTCAATGCGTGGAGTAAGCACATCAAATGACTGAAACAAAACATGAGAGAACTTACCATACGCATTGCACTGTCCAATATGGAGAAATGGGTTTGTAAGATATCAACCAACTCCTGAGGATAGTTTGACAAAACATCTGGGTAGCAATGAGATACCTGAAAACAAGCATTATATGGGGGCCCATACACGTACAAGTATGACTCGCGAGTCCGACTCGGCTCGGGTTTCCATGAGCTAAATTCGTTCATGTGTGGCTCGCCACACTCATATGTGTGTGGTGAAATTAATTAGACCCGGGCTCCTCACTGAGCCAGACTCGCAAGCCAGACTCATATGTGTATGGGTCACCTAACACTTCTGGATCATGAATGCACGACATGTTTTATATAACTTAGGAAGACAGCATAGCAAATGCAAGAGTGAGGATAAATTGGTTTAATTAATTTTGTTTGGGCTTGTTTACAGACATAAGGATCTCTCTAAGCAATTAAATTGCATTATGGAACCAATGGTTCATTAGCACAATCTAAAACTCTTATTTTAAATCTGTTCATGATCCTAATACACTTGAATGGTGTTAACGGGATTATTGATCTACTTCATGTGATATCAGTTGTTAAGGTTAGATATGGCAGGTTCAAAACAATTTTAAACTACTAATCATATCGCTGTACAACTGTTCATCTTATTCATTTTCCTAGAGTAGTGGGGGGGGGATCAAACAAGGTGAAAGGCATTTTGCTATATTAAAACCGTCTTGTATTACAAGAATAAATCTTATATTTGGAATATACTGTGCTCCTGGTGAATGTTAACAATTTCTATGACAATTATATGCAGAATTACAAGCTATCACTGTTACTTTTTTCCATTTTCAGCACTACCACTCTTGATATTATTTTAAAATCTCTGCAGGGATGTAATGATAATAAATTAATGCACATTATAATAATACTTACAATCTCATACACCAAAGTATTAACTGAGTGGTGTACTGACAAAAAGTACTTCTGGAAATTAAATTAGGGGTCGTCTTTACCATGCATTATGCCAGTTAGTTATTTTTTTAATTGCAGAACTGAAACTCAAAGGGTAGTTTTGTCACTCTGGTTTATATATTGTACAGTCTGAGTTCAAGGAAAAGTGTAAAACTACAATCTGAACAGAAAACTCAATTTCACATTCTCTCTGTTTACGCATTCTGTCATAAATACTCCTCTCAAACTTCTGTCTATGAATCACACTTCCTAACTCCATGGAGAAGAATTCTTATTGATAACTCAATAGTCACTTAGCTGTTCTGGACATTATCTGATACTTTTGCAACATGAAGATTCAGTACCAGATTTAAAAGAGCCTACCACTGCAGCATGTCCTGAGTTAGATGAATCCAGTCTACAGTCATGTACAGTCCTACACCTTATTTCCATATGATCCATCTTAGGACTATCCTCCTATATATGCACATGTATCTGAAGTGGACTCATCCCCTCACATTTTCAAACTAGGATTTTGCTTGTATATTTCATTTTCCCCATGTATTCTGCATGTCCTCATCACTTTACTCTCTTTGATTTACAAAGTTTAACAATACTTCGTGAAGAAAACAAACTATGAAGCTCCCAATTAAGTAATTTTCTCCATCCTTCCATTACATCCTCATTCTAGGTCCACAATTCTCCTCAGCACCCTTTTTCCTAGCAGATTATTTTAAATTGTGACATATTTTCCTATTTCTTCTATTCAATTTTTTTGCCTCTGTATATGTTATTCTTCTATGATTAGAGACCATATTTCACATGCATGTAAAATAAAAGGTAACATTATATTATGTTTCACAGCAAACTTCCAATACCATGATGGAACTGCTCTCTGAGTTTCAGTTCCATACCTGAAAGCCAAACTTGTTGGTACAAACAGAGCCCCCTGGTTTCATCTCCAGAAATATTTGGGTAAATAATCCTCCTATATTTTGAATATGCAAGGCATTGACTGAATACAAGAATTCTTACCTGAGCTATGAACATGACCAAATCATCAAGGCTTTTGTTGAACTCACTAGGATGGAGGCGAAATACATCCAGCATGCATTGGTAATGACGGTACTGCAATAAGAACTATCCAACAAGAACAAATTAAATTCAATATTAACCTTCCATATGCTGACCTATTTGGGAATACAGGATCTTTGATACTACAGTTACAATGATAACATTAATAATACCTTCAGGCCATAATTCATTCAATTCAATTCAATTCAATTCAATTCAATTTTATTTCATCCATGGATCATTATACATGATATGGGACAAGTCAAAGATTAATATTAATACTAATACTAAATAATAATAAGTATATAATAATACAGAAATAATATGACAATATAATAATACATGATAATAATAATAATATAGCAATACAGATATAATAATATGACAATATAATATTGATTGATTGATTGATCCACCTCGTCACTGCAGATCACTGTACATGATACATGACAAGTCAAGCCAATTCTGAACATTAACAATCCGATACATAAGCAGATTAAAATTACAATAGTTACAATTCCACTGCTGATTACAATCTAGAACCGGCTAGATACTCCCACTTGTGGAGTGTTATTGCTGATGGCCTATTTTGGATCTAAGTAGATCAGAAGTTATGTCCCAGCATATATATAGTGTATAGTTGAAACCCAATTATACTTTTAAGAGTTCTATCTTCAGGAATATAATACTGTGTCAGCTGTTGAAAGTCAACTGATGTTCCAGAGGAACATGCCGCCTCCACCTTTAGGGTCAGAGAATTAGCCAAGCAGGAAACCAGCATAAAGCTGGCAGCAAGCAGCAACATGTTCCTCTTTCACCAGCAAGAAACCTGAGAAATTTGTATAAAGTGATGTTATAATTCATAAATATCATGATGTATCTTGTATAAGACTGATGTTCAGACTATGGTAGTGTAAAGCATGAATACCATAAATTTTGTTTTTCGTGATGTTATGAATTCTTTAACACCATGATGCATCTTGTATATAAAAGGATAAAATTCATTGAAAGCTGGCACTCATTAACAAGAAAATTCAGACATGGCAGTGCATTAAAAAAGGGTAAATCTGCCCATAACACTATTTCTATGTATTAATGTTAAGTGTGGACATGCATGATTAGACTTGATAAAGTTACGAGTTTACTTAAGAAAGTTGTGTACACCTTTAAAATACAGTGACAAATTACCTAGAGTTGGATGAAGTTCTTTGTTTGTGCTAGTAACTGTAAATACACGCCAAATTCTCTCGACAGAATTCATAGGGTTTAATACAGGGTAAAAACAAAACTCTTGTAAAGGTGTTCAACTGTCCACAAAGCAGAGAGTAGAAAGGTAGACTTTTGGAGTGTGATACTGCGGATTTGTGCCAACCTAGTCAATGGAGGCAGTTCTTAGTTCATCTAAAATGCTGGTACCTATACGGTAAATTATGCAGTGTAGCATCCCACAAGACTATGCTGTTAATGGGACTGAATTCTTGGGCTCCAAATAAGGTGGGGAATTTCTTGACTACCTCAGCGATCATCAGTTATTGCCCCAAGAAGTCAATTCAGTTAACATGCTAGGGAGCTGGAGCAGGCTAAAAATTTTATGTTAATGTTAAAACTTGAGCTTAACTTCACATATGGCTGTAAAAGATCACGGTACAGTGAAGTTGTTGTGAATGCCAAATATAAGGTTTGAATAGCGGAAGTATGAAACTGGAATTTCTACCTGACGACCTCAAAGTGCAGGGCAAAGGAAAATGCAAATTCCCCATTCAATATTATATATGTTCTGTGGCACGCACGCGCACGCATAAATGCGATTAAAAAACATGCATAACATCAAGTTGTGTAATATAACTCAAGTTTTATACTAATACTGTTTAGGTGTCAAGCATCGCACTCACTTCGTCTTTGTATGAAGCAGGATCTCGCTTAATCAGATTCTGAAGCTGAGGCAAGTTATCTGGAAGTTGGTTGTTGTGACGAGCCATTATTAATATATGATTATAATAATTATTTTACACTATTGTCTATACAATGGAAAACCACATGCAGAGTTCAATGTTCACGTGTTACAAGAGGACCGTACCTAACCTCAAATATGGCAAGAAACAAGTTTCTGCACATTGATTATACATACGTCATACACTAACCACACGCGAATTTACTGCTGCAACCACCAAATTGTTTTGTATTTATGTGTAAGAGGTCTCTGTTTCCGAAGTCTGATTTCGAGTGATAAAAGTTGTCCACGTGTTTAATTAAGCACCATGCCATGAAGACGTATGGGGAAGTGGAGGTATACCTCCATGACCCTTGACCTCGGCACTAGATGGAGGTGAGTGGTTAGCTTCACACCCCGGCCGCTTTACCCCCAAGGGAAAGAGCTCAGGTGTGTATTAGATAGTGGCTGGTTTGGCCCCAGAGTAAATATGGATGCTGTGAGAAAGACAACAATTACTTGCCCCTGCCAAGGATTAAATCCTGGGCGTTAAGCTTGTAGCCTATTTCTATACCAACTAGTTTCTTTATTTGCTATTTACTTGATGACACTGTCAGCAATTTTGTCTATACACAAGTATATGTGCTTTGGCAAAGAACAGGGCAGGCAACATCTCCTCATAGATTTTGGGGAAAATCACGATTGTAGCAAAGAAGGAGATGTACCAAATACTAATATTAAAAATTTAAAGGTTAAAAAAGCATATTCTTCTATGATATTCTGATCAGTAAAATGGCCTTAAACAACTTGTCTGTTTGCCACCCCTTAAAAAGTCTTAGAGTTGCCTTTGATTATATATCATCAAATAACTGGATAATAGCAAATAATTTGGAAAGGATGTGAAAGAAAGCAATCATGGTCTAATTTAAGGACATGTACCAGTGTGTTCTTTGACAGACTGAGGATAAGTACCTTGAAATAGACCTCTAATCAACCATTTATGATCACCTTTCCATTTCTTGTCACTTTGTATCCTCTGCAGTGGAGTGTAGTGAAACTGCATAAAGATCACTCTCTAGACATTTGCAAAGTGACAATGAAGGGTCTGATAAATTTTACAAGCCTTTTAGAGAAGCTATGGGCTGGATGACAGAAGTTTGATTCACAGCAGAAGCAGAAATTTTTCTCTTCTCCATCACATCCAGACTGACTTTGTCACCCACTCAGATCCTATCTAGCAGATACCTACGGCTCCTTTCTCAGGGTGTGAATCTTTCCATTCACGTCCAACTAATGCCAAAGTTGAAGGTCTCATGGTTTCCCTCATTCCCTCCAGGAACTGTTTTGACAGATAGGCCACAACTGCATCAGCCCATATTCTTCTTGCTTCATCATCCACAGTGTAAACGAAATATAAATGTATGAATTAAATTAATTTAAATCTTTTAAAGCATTAGACATAAAACATGTGACCAGTTAATTAATCTACAAAATTATTTTATTTAAATTTTATATTGAATATTAATTTTCCAAATGCACCAGGAATGAGTTTTGATGTTTTCAATTCATGGATCATTAGTATCTTTTTAAACTCCTAGACAGTTCATTACAAAAGTGAATACTAACATTCTCAACATTGAATTTTACCAGATGTTATGCAGTAATAGGAAATCATGCATCTGATAGAAAGATCTGTTCATTGCTGAACACGTAAGGCAGCAGATGTAATTTGCCTGTGAATTAATCTTAAAAGCCCCAAAACACAGTTCACTAATTCACCAGATGTCCTGCATTTTGTCTGTTACTATGGGAATTTGGAATGTTTTATCAGACATTTAATTACTAATTATATAACTAATTTGTTTGAGGAAAAATATTTGGTTAAATACTTCCATGAATATGTTGATTTTGAAGTCTGTATTTATTTGCCAATGATCTGTTGATTCAGTATAACCAAATTCATGTGTAGATTATTTAATGACAATTGACTGGAACAAGCAAGAGACCACAGCCTATTCTGCTTTGTCCATGATACTTATGGTGTGAACATGAACACATGCCAAGCAGATAGTGATAAAATGTTCATCTCTTATTTATTAGTGGCTGTACATGTTCCTCTGAAGTACAAACCATGTGATGTCTCTGATTCCTCCAGCATAAAAACAGTTGGTCAGTGAATCTACAGAAGTACATGATCAGTGATAAATTTTAAGTGTCTTAATATCCTTAGGATATAACTGATGGTAAGTTCCGCATGTTTTATGAGCACCTTTATTTGATGGTGATGCTCCAGACTTTTATTTGAGACATTTCTGATTAAGGCAATTCTGACTGAGGTTTTTCATGGGTTTCCTCAGTTTGCCAAGAAGAACACATAGCCTTCAAGAAGGCCACAGCTGTCTCCTTCCAAATTCTTAAGTACATGCCAGGCACAATCATATTTTCATCTCATCCACTGTTGTATAATGTATTAAGTGCAAGAGGAATGTGAGAACTCTTCCTTTAGGGTAAATATGACCAGCAAGTGAAATTATTCACACACTTCCATCTAGAGCTGAAATTAAAAACATGTTTGTGAGACTTTATTTCCATGGCACTGTCATACCATGATTCCATATTATCGTTTGTTTTATCCAAGCATGAGTAACAAATGTGACCATGGAGAAAATATTGAAAATGCAAGAAACTAAGATAGACAGGAATCAAAGGTGATTTCTTTCATTATATTATCTTCAAGAACATTACACTTGTGTTCACAGGGTGTTACCACAGAATATCATAAGAATTTTTATTGTTTCCTTACATTTCTCCACTATACAATATGCCTTCAAATATGGTTAAGAATATTATAAACTCAGTTTCACAAAATTTACAATCTTTCATTCTGTTATACATATGTCAAAAATTAGAGTTTGGATGTTCTCTATGAGTTTAAAAATGAATAAACACTAGAAATTACAGAATTAGTTTCATTCAAATTTGGTATCATATTCAGGAGATGTGGACTAGATCATTACATTCTTACTGTTACAGATATTTTTGAGGGCAGTAAGAACTCTTTAAGATATAACAAATATTACTCACTTCTACAACTTTCATTCAGCCTTCATTGAGTCATCTCACTTTTAAATATATTTTACACCTTCATGCAAAGAGTATTAATAGACCATTAAAGAGAAAGATTAAATTCACCCAACAAATTTTAAGGTTTACCCCTTGCACATTTCATTCAAAATTGACAAAACCTCTGGGAGATTATAAATGTGGACACATAGGCAGACCCCAACATCTGAACTGCATGTTGGTCCAAGCGATGATACAATAAACAGAAAAGTATTATGAAGATCTGAAGTTATAATTTAAGGTATAAAATCAGTCAAATTGAAAACAAAATTTGTTCTTGTTTCTGAAAGATATGGTTTAGTGTTTTCTGGCTTTAATTCCTTGTCTTCCACCTCCTCTTTCTCAACAGCATGATTTATCCAAACAAGACATTTTCCATGAACTGACAGATTCCACTCTGCTGTCAGTACTAATTTGTATACTAAAATGGGAAATTTTCAGTTTTCAAGTTCTCATGTTTGTTACCATTTATGGTATTAGAATCACACTGCCTAACAAATGTAAATTCAGCAGACAGTTCTTTTGTTTGTATCATTTTATGTGAAAACATTTCCAGTTTCATCACAGCCATCATATAAAGTCACTTCATGGTCCTCTGTTTTCTTTCTTTGATCTTATGATTTTCAGAGTTGAAGGGAACAAGATGGCTGGGATTATTTAACTAATATATCATAGTTGGCATTGCCAGCTTTAAAACTGTTAACAAACTGGGCATGGAATTCTGGTTCAATGTAGGTGACTTTTACTGCTTCATCTTCCTTCATTGCTTTTTTCCACTCACTCTGAAAAACAAAGTAACAGATTTTGAAAACCAGCCTGCTCATAAAATGATTCTTCTTCTATTTCACAATGCCTCTCAACAACATACATTATATTTTACAGTGTCAAATGGTAAGACAGTTCTGAATGATAACCTGGAAAACAATGTGCCAGGTCAAAATCATGGTATAATGTATGATTCTATTATAGTGTTGGTTTGGGCATTCAATGAGACATTAATAACATAGTTTTGTATTCCTAACACATTCTTAAATATAGTGTACAAGGTTTGTCCGGAAAGTAATGAAATTAAGTTCGTAAAAAAAAATGTATTCAAGATATCGTTACAAACTTTTAATATTCTTCAAAGTCCTCCCCTTGGGCATCCACACACTTTTGCCAGCGACTTTTCCATGCACGATACACATCCTGGAAGGCATCGACAGGAACATCGTTTAGAGCCTTTGTCACGGCGGTTTGGATCACTTCAGTGGTTCCAAAACGGGTTCCTTTCAGGGTGGTCTTGTTCCTCGGGAACAAAAAGAATTCTGCGATCACTCACGATTGTCACTCGGTTGTTCTTTGGTTGTCAGTCAACAATTTGGGGACCAACCTGGCACACTTTCCGCATGTGCAAATTGTCGGTAACGATGTCATGCACAGTGCTTTTTGGAATATTGAGAGTCTCTGCTATCATCCGAACACTCATTCGATGATCGGTATTTAAAAGATCACAAACACGAGACACAATTTTGTCACTTTTGCTGGTTGACGGCCGTCCAGAGCGGGGGTCATCCTCCACCTCTTCCCGGCCATTTTTAAACAACTTCAACCACCTAGAGATTTGAGAATAGGAGAGAGCAGAGTCCCCGTAGGCTTCCTGAATCATTTGGTGTGTGTTGGCAAGGTTTCTGTTCAGTTTAGCACAGAACTTGATTGCGTAACGTTGTTCCATAGTTTTCTCCAATTCAATTCAATTTATTTCAAATTCAAAAATTCCATTGCGCGTCATGACACAGGCACTAACAAGAGGTTCATGGAAACAGCGATCCTGACGCTCCCAGAGCTCAGAGCAGACTGAGCTTGGAAGCGTTGTGAAGCTAAGAGCCCCCCCCCCCCTTCCAAACCAGTCCGAACACGCTGCGACCAGAAGGAGCGGCGGGAAAAACAAATTGCATTACTTTCCAGACAAACTCTGTATATTCACCCAGTGACACAAATAAAAAATAAATGTGGTACAACATAATAAGACTAAAACTTTTGTTAATTTTTAGGTCACTTTGATGTATTTCATGAGATATAAAAAGTAATTTACCAGTTTCTTGTACCGGTCTTTTGGAATTACAAATTTCTCCGGTGCAACAATTTTGTAAGAATCAATTCTCTCAATCCATGGCCATATCATGTAATCCAACATTCCTGGCACATCACCTGAAATTGTAAACAGAATACGACAGTTGTGACACAAATATTTAAACCGATGAGGAGCAACCTCTAACTTAACGCTGTGTCCCACCACCACCCATCCAACAAGAAAGCTGTACTTTCCACATTGGTGCATAGGACTAGAGCTCTATGCGATCAAGAAAGCCTACATGTGGAGTTGGTGTTCCTGAGGCATGTTTTCAGGCAGAATGCTTACAATGACTGGCAGATCCACAGAGCCCTCAACAGTTGTCCAAACATCAGTCAGCCTGATAATAAACCAGACTCGACTGCCTTCCCTCCCTGTGTTGGGACCACATGCAACTGAATCAGCGGAGTTCTGTCCCAGCACATCATCAATTCAGTGAGCCTGCCTCCCAAGAAATTATCTAGTTTCCTCAGGCTGGTCAAAGATAAGCTGGAACTAAGGACACCGGATGGATCCAGAATCCCCTGTGAGTGCGGCAAGGTCTACATTGGGCATATAGTCTGTTCTGTGGACATAAGGTTGAAGGAGCATTAGCGGCACATCCGTCTTGAACATCCAGACAAGTCAGCCGTGACTGAACACAGCATCGACTTGGGACACCGCATTCAGCTTCACAATACCTCCATCCTCGCCACTAAGACCCAATACATGCATCGCATCATTATGGAGGCCATTGAGATTGAGCTCCATCCCAACAATATGAACACAGAAGGGGGGTTTTGTCTTAGCAAGTCATGGAAGCATCTGATATGCTCCCTCAAGAAACCTCCAGAACATGATGCCAGATCCACAAGGCTATGCAGGTCGCTGCATGGCTGGCAGCTTAGCCCTGAGGCTATTTCATCAATGCTTTCCCAGTAACCTTTCCTTTCCCTTCCTCTTACACAATCCTATACCTGCTCTGGCCTGCTACCTGGTGGCCCATCACCACAGACCCTTCCCCTCTCCGTCTACTGATTTCTGATCTGGCCCCTCTCCCTTCCTTTCCTGTTCTTATATAGCTGGGTGTTTTTGACTGGCACTCACTCTGCAGCCACCTGCTAACTCTGGTTCCTTGCTCGCAGATTTCTTATACCCTGAAGATGGAGGCGATATGTTCCTCCGAAACATCAGTTAACATAATATCTATACGGTGCCACATCCCAGAAGACGGCACTCTCCTTAGTCACCACCGTGAAAACCACAAATCTTACAGACTGAATCACTTTCCCTATACTTGTACACTGGTGACATTTCATAGTGGAATGGAACATGAAGGATATGTCAATTAACTACCTGAAACATAGTACAGGGTGGGGTGCAGAAACTTCCTTTGTGTGAAGACGCATTGTGAAGGGAAGGGAGGTCACAGAAAAGTGGGGATAGGCTCGGCAAACGCAGCAGTCGCGGAAGTTTCTAATACCCCTGTGTAGGAAACATGAGGTGGACGAGTGAGTAGCATGCGTTTGCTGTCGAAGCCTATTTTTCGAACAACCATTCCTACGTGGCAGTGCAGTGTGCGTTCCGTACTCACTTCGGAATTAAGCCCACAGGTCTGGTTCCAAACCGGAAATCGATTGTTTTGTGGGTAGAGAACTTTAGGACAACCGGGAGTGTGGTGAAAAAATCATCAGGACGATAATAGACCGTTATGATGGCAGAAAATGTGGAGGCAGTTCGACAGTCGATTTTGAGATCTTTTTCGAACCAGCTCTTGAAGAAATGCATCTAGGAAATGTCTCATTCCAACAGGATGGTGCCACACAGCCCAAGCTTCGATGACAGTTTTGAGGGCAAAGTTTCCCAGATGGCTCATCTCGCTTCAAGGTGACATCCCATGGGCAATGCACTCACCTGATCTAACGCCCTGTGATTTTTTTATGGGGATACCTCAAGGCAGAGGTTTTTAAACATCGCCCCACAAACCTGCATCAGCTGAAGAATGTTATTCAGCAGGAAGTAGCCCAAATTCTGGTGCACATGTTGGAACGTGCAGAGGGGAACTTCAGAAAACGGTTGCATCAGTGCATAGACAACAGTGGCCACCACCTTCAAGATATTTTGTTTAAAACTACATGATTTAAAACTTTAAAGTATGTTTTTTCATTAGCTGAACATAAATTTTGTCTGTCGGCAATAATTTTTCTTTTATTCGCCTTCAAAAAAAGGAAGTTTCTGCGCCCCACCCTGTATATCATAAGAACTTGATAAGTACTCAGTTGTTAATGAAGTCCCCAGTTATCACAAGAATTGAATGTTCATCACTATTACCATAAAATCCCAACTTTCCATGGCTATTCAGCTATAAGTTATTTATACATGGAATTTTGATGTGTATGTCTCCATTCCTATCAGTCCTTAGTATTTTTTTACATTCATCCACTGACATCCTTACCTCCAAAGAATTGTGTGGCTCTCAATGTTAGCTCCTTCTCAAATAAATCCAGGCCTGTCAAAATGGGATCAAAGGAATCGTCTCCATCACGTAAATATGTATATATGCTTGTACTGATCTATATAATAAAACAAAATCATGTTATTATATCAAGACTGTACAATTTTGTGTTAGCATAAGATCTTGAAAATATTTCAGAATGGTTCTGAATTACTACCATCAATCTCATTTGTTTAACTAAACAATAACACTAGACAGAATTTCTAAACAGAATGTATGAAATCTGATTTCTTTTAATTACTCCCATCTGAATATTATTACAGTTATAGTTATAACTGTCAATCGCTTTTAATGATAACTAAAAGTAAATGTGCTGTGGCATTATATTCTTACGTCTAACTTTACAAACTTACATTGAATTTGCATAATTTTAAAAGATCTGCAGTAAAGAATCAAGTTTCCATATTTAATAGCACTACTGAAGCTCCTCATGTGGCCATCATGTCTGCTCTTACTGTTAGAAAATCAAAATGGTACAGTGGCCTGAAATGGAATGATGTTCAAACCAAGGGTCCTCTAAACCAATTAGTTGATTCCAACTTTGTATGGGGAAAACACAAGTCACATCCTAACAATATGGGTGCAGACTAGTGAAAGAAGTAAATAAACGTAACAGAATTGAAGAAATAGTTTTATTGTGGTGTAAAAAATGAGACACTGTGATAATGAAGAATAAATTTACTTTACATCAGTAGATGGTCTAATGTGAGTCATGTTTTGTTCATCACTGACCCCTTTCAGAATTTTTAGATAACATTTTTTAAAAATTATGTAAGGTCTACAAGTAAAACATGTTAAATTTACAGTCTCGTGGCTACATGCAAACCATCTTCTCAGTTGCTCCAATATAAATTGCAGATAAACCCTAACTCTAGTGGCATAAAATAGAGTGAGTGTGTACTATAATTTATGCTCTGTTCACATCGCGTTTCAGAGGTGGATTATGAAATCGTTATCTTATCATCTTTTACATAACATAATGACACAGCTCTATTTCCTTTTATAAATTTTCACAACAAGCAAATATGGTTACATGATTAAATGAAACCATTTAAGTGATCTGAAAGTTAATATTGGCTAATTTGAATTTCATTTTTGACCCTGTTTATTTATAATGACCGTGTTTTATCATACTGGACCTAGCTAAACATATTTTTAAAACGTGTTTTTGCTACATTACAGACACAGAGAAGTAATTTGTACACCTACAGCTGGGTGTGAATCGTTGTCAAAGAGGATGGCATTGTGACTTTAACCATACTGATGTTATGTTCAACTGAAGTTAAACAAGCATTACCATATGGTGTGATATTCAGCTTTAGTTTACATCAAGAAATAATCTCCTTTCACTCTATCACTTGACTTCATTCAATGGGCTAGGAAACTATATTTTTGAGTGTTTTGTAATGTTTGATCTTAAAATCGCATTATTTTAGAAAACCTGAGAAAATAATGCATAGGGAAAGGGTCAATAGCATATTAATAACAACAATGATACCAACCTTACTAAAGTGTTCTACCAAGATTCTGTCCTTCGCTTTCTGCATAGGATCCTTAGGATGCAGTGGTCTTTGTGGATATTTCTCATCCAGGTAGTCGGCAATTATCAGACTCTCATAAATGGCGTCTTCTGATTCTGTTTCTATAGCTGGTACTTTTCCCAGTGGATTTCTTTGAAAATACCAATCTGGTTTGTCTGAGAGTTTGATGTTTACAATATCATGACTAAAAAGGAAAATATTAGAATCATTAGAACTTAATAAGGAAGGGGGCTTAGAAAGATGGCAATAAATTTGAGTTTGGTGCTGTTTAATGTCTTATTCTGTTAACATATTGTAGCATGTGGGCCTAATGCTGAGTAATGACTCTGTACATAATGCCCATTGCTAGGCAACAGATTCCTAACAGGCGCCAATGGACTAAATGGGAAGCGGTGTTCTCTACACAGTCCACTACAGCTGCGTGACACAACAAAAGAAGAACTGTTTTCTGTGTGGTCTGTGCTGAGGTGTTATAAGCAGGACAAGTCTCAAGTTTCATTAGTTGGAAGACAGTCACTGGCCAATAAGGGTGTGAACATAGAAGCTGAGGAAGCTACAATGTTGGAAGCTGTTACCAGGTGACAACTGGCGAAGATACAGCAGACTGAGAAGACTTAGTGTGCGCTGTAGTGAATTGTAGAGTGTGTGAATTAGCAGCAGGACTATAGTTGCTTGTAGTTATGTTCTGCAAGAGTTCAATAAATCCAGTTACCAATCCAAACCGCATCTATTGTCTCTCAACAATATATACTGTTTCAAGAACTGGAACTACTTTTCTTTTTATGTGAGTTGTTTTCATACCATCAATTTATGGGTCTTGTAATCCAAAAGACAGTACTAGTATCACACAAATGCCCAAAAGTCCTGAAAATATGATTTTGTTAATGTAAAACAGAACACAACCCACTAAATCAACAGTAAACTGGAAATATTAGTGCAGGAATCCTCTTTGTCACAGGATATCTGATTTCCACAGAAAGCTATTCCTTGTTACAAGAAATAAAAGTACAACTTACAAAGGAATAACGTACAAGAGATAGTACAGTTTGGCGGTGTCTTGTAATAAGAAGCAATGAGATTCATGCATATTTAGCCTGTAACATCACTGCTATTCAGCAACTTATGGGCACTGCATAAAAGTCAGGAAAGAGTACATCTGTAACTGATTCTACACACTGCATTAATAAATCAGTTTTATTCCCAGAAGACAATGATGTCAGTTCTTAACATTCTTGAGGACAAATTTAAATAAGTGCAGACCCCATTCTACAGAAGCCTTCTAGTTTCTAGTCACATATAATATATCTCTGTTTATTTCGTAGTATAGCCTACTATCAAGGTAAGTAATGCCTTCAGGCATACACAAACACCATAAATGCTCAAAACTGCTGAATTTGCTTCAAATTAGCAAGAGACATACACAGATAGATTTTACTTAAATCCAGGATGTTGAAATTTGTGGTAAGTTGAAATATTAATACAGAAACCCTATTTGTTCTACACTGTCTCATTAAAGAGTTAAATATATATGACAATTGATATAAGAGCAGGCCAGTTTCCATAAGCTGTTACAGCAAGGTTCCCACAGCAGTGTAGAAGGTGCCAAGCTTTCCAAAATAGCTTATGGAGACTAGTCTACTCTCAAATCAGGTAACCTATGTATCAAAATTGGAGTATGTGTTTCTTTTAAATCCATTCTTTGCTATTTTGCATGTATTATTTAATCTTGTGTTAATTTGTTGGATGTGTGTGTATGTATGTGTGTTCATTGTTGATTGCAGAAAATATTATACTTTTAGACTGTGGCCTTATGGGTTGACACGTGTCATCTTCCAGGTGGATACCGTAGTTTCAGAGGATCACTGCTTCCATTTTCGGGGTTGAAAAATCTAACCAGCAGAACATTATCTGAATAACCAGTGGTGTGAAAACCTCAAAACATAGAGTGAGATATTACATTTTATGCAGACATGAATTTTCTTCCTGAACCTTACTAAATATAGATGACAAAGGAAAACGTTTCAAATGAAAGTTGTTATAAGGTCGATATTTTGTGTTATGTACCATTTTTTTTTCTTGGTGCATTGAGCCATTTTCGAGATAAAATGGTAAGACTAAATTTGAGCATCATGTAAACTATAGATTATACTGGATGGAAACAGAAAAACAGATGAACAATAGTAAAGTTTATGAAAACTGGTTGATCAAGACAAACAGTAAGATTAAATCTGAGTGTCATATAAAGCAGAAGTTATACTGGACAGTAGCAGAAAAATATTGTGACGTGGATGGTGCAACAGGAAGTAGGGGTCACGTGGGTCATGTGAATTCTGCGGTCTCGCAAGTGACGTCACATATCCCACTCCTTCCATCACCGCAGGAGGTGACGGAGTGTTTACCGAGTGTTGCGTAGTGATGGAAGGAGTGGGGGTATGTGACATCACTTGCGAGACTGCAGAGTTCACGTGACCCCTACCTCCTGTTGCACCATCCACGCCACACTATATTCCAAATACTAAATTTGATCAATATTGGTTGATCAACTATGCAGATGAAACATGCAGACAAATGACATGTTTAAATTTATGGAAAGAATTCATGAAAGGTGCATAGGCCTAATGTCGTGTTTTGTTACTTACGGTATCTTTTTTGCGTCTAGCACCAAATGTACTCTTTGTGCGTAAGGGCAGAACCTCATGCTGTACAACCTCAGCTTTCCTTTTGGTAAGGGTGGATTTGTAGATCCTGTATAAAAAATCATACTTATCGTACAAGTCACTTAATTGATGTATGACTTCTCCAAATAATAATTTTATTCTTTTGTCATAACTAGTACAAACATCAACATTATTAATATTTTAATTCAATTCAGTTCTTGATTTATTTACATGATTACTCAACACCTCCATGAAGAAATGAAACAAACAAAAGATGAAACAATGCAACTTGTATAATTTCTACAATAACAGTTCAATTAGTGCAGTCATGCCAGTCACTCTGAAGCAAGAAAAATAAATATAGGCCTACACATGCATCCATCTTGAATACAATTAATATTTTAATAATTATCAAAATACAATTATGAAACCTGATTGAGAAAAACAGTTATAATTCAGAGAAATTCATTATTTATTTACATGTAGAGCTCAACAGCCAGTGACCAATTACAGAGTAAGCACAAATACATACTAAATAAGCTGTGACTGTGTGAACGGTGTGAACTGCGTTAAACTGACTCATAGGTAGCCAGTCAACCTCGGCATTAGGCCTATATAAAGTTGACAGGTCACAAGCTTCATTTCAAAGAAAGCCACTCTGAAAGAAAATTCCTCACTGAATATGAGCTCCGGAACTCAACTCTGAGTGACTAACTCCTGCAGATGGATATCAAGAAGATAATAGTAGCAATAATAACAATACTGTAATAATAAATGTGCAACAAATTTATAGCAAAATGGTATTCTTTACAGATTAGAGATTTTCATGGTGGTGACAATGAGGAACATGACATTCTGGGGTGTGAATTTGCTTTTGCTTGTGCACTTGGCTTACTCTTCAACCCTGAAGATTATTTGTATGGTATTAAAATAAGGAATTGATGAGATGAAGAGACACGCAGTCTGCATGGGGTACACGATAAGTGAATGTAGATTTTTTGGAAAATTTCCAAGTGAAAAGACCACTTTGTAGATGAGGAAATAATATTAAAATTGATTTTAGACAAATCATGAATGTGTAAACTGCATTAACCCCATTTAGGATAAGGTAAAATGGTTGGATTTTGTATGCAGTAATAAACTTTCAGACTCCATAACAGAGTTACTGCCAGTCGTTCAAGGAAGACCTTGTACTGCAGATATTTGAGAACTTCAACAGTTGAACTCGTTTTTGTTTCCATCCAACTGATGTGTATTGACTCTGGCTGAGTTATAGACCTATATAACTCATCTGGTTTAATCAGCAAGTATAGGACCTTCTGCCCTTGAGTGAATAGCATTTGCCTTGAATTCTGTTTTTGACAGATTCATTGTGGCACTTACCCAGTCATTCCAGGCGAAAGCTGGGAAAATATTGTGGCATGTAAACTTGTTGCTAGGCAATGACTACAAAATAAGCAACTACACAACAGATGTTGCTAAATAACGGCTCTGCAAACAATGGAGTAGCAATCATGTGGGAATCCCAACAGGCACGAACGCAACAGTGGCACAGAAACAGAGGAATGGTGTTCTCTGTGTGGTCTGTGTCAAGATGTAATAAAAAGGGTAAGTTAGTGAGGAGTGAGTCAAAAGACTCATTCTTCAAAGACGAGTCTCCATTTCGAAACACGTACATGGCTAGGAGAGAATAAAAATCTTGGTCATGAATCTCAAGAAGACTGAAGCTGGGAATGACTGTGCTGGTGAAGGATAGCAACAATTTAACTGACCGACTGAAAGAGTGAGTCAGTGAGTTAGAGGACTGCTGAGGTTCAGTCATTGTGAGCTGTTGCTGGCAGAAGCTGGGAACAGTTTGGACACTCAGAAGAAATGGCTACATAATGATCACATGGGGATCCCAGCAGACATAAAAGCAACAATGGCACAGCAACAGAGGAATGGCATTTTCTATGTGCTCTGTGATGAGATGTTATAAGCAGGACAAGTTAGTGGGTCAGTAGAGTGGAGTTAAGTCAGCAGAGAGAGTTAGCTGAGTTGAGGAGTGAAGAGTTGGTTGGTGAGTTAGTAAGAGTTACTTAGAGAACTTCTGAGGTTCAGTCATTGTGAGCTGTTGCTGGCAGAAGCTGGGAACAGTTTGGACACTCAGAAGAAATGGCTAAGTAATGATCACATGGAGATCCCAANTCCACGTTGCACTGCATGCTTCACATGCAGCACCCCCCCAATAGTAACATCATGAAACTTATTATACCATAACTACACAAGAATGACATGTCTTATATCATGTATAATGATCCATGGACACGAAATAAATGAATGAATGAATGAGTTAGTAAGAGTTAGTTAGAGAACTTCTGAGGTTCAGTCATTCTGAGCTGTTGCTCTTAGAAGCTGGTATCTGAGGCTGGAGACAGTTTGGCAACCCAGAGAAAGGGGAATGTCCATCCCTGGAATCTGCTACCAGAAGATGGATGAAGACACAGCAGATTGAGAAGACTTAAGCGCGTGCTTTGGTGAACTGTAAAGTGTGTGAATTAGTGAAATGGTTATAATTACTTGCAGTCATGGATCTGTAACAGTTCAATAAATCCAATTGCCAATCCAAACCCCATCTATAGTCACTCTTATCACGTGACGCCTGGTACATCACAACCACTTCCTCATCAGCCCCACTGTACACAGCCAACATCTCAACCCTACCTACAAGGGGCAGTTTTCCTTGAGAAGCTAATGGTAGGTCAGTTAGTCAAGAAATTTCCCATGTTTTATGTTTACAAAGGTTGCTGTGTTGAGAAGAAACTTCTAATTTCCTCATCCTAAGCTGGATGAATTCAAGTAGATGCTAAAGGGTTCTAGCGGTGTGTAACATTCAAAATTACTAGGTTTTTGGACTTTTTCCATTGTCCGGTGTTATAGAAAGTAGAAAACACAAGACATTTCGGGAAATTGGATCTGTTTCCGTCC